TTTCCTTCACGGGTGACTCCTACCAGGGACCAGACATTGATTCTTTTACTGCTGGTGGGGGGGTGGGGGGGGCGGGGGCATTTTTCAAGCTCATGTTCAGATATGTGGGAATTAGAGGAATGCATAAAAAAATAGGGATGCATCGGTACCGATATATTTTTTGTTGGGGGTACTCGCCAATACCCAAACTCCGATTAAGGAAGCCGGGCAGCATGTAATGAATAGCCACCCGGCTTCCCGATTAGCTTTGAAGCTAGGCATGGAAAGATGGTATAGATCAGGCTAAAATAAGAACACAAACTAGCCATAAGTCTGCTAGGAGATGCAAAAATACCTTTCAGAATGCAACATCCTCTTCTGCCTACTAGTGGATCGCCCCTACCAGATGTAAGCTACAGCATGGGTGGAGTGTGTGCGGGCAGAGGCACTAATAAGCTGTCTCTTCATGAGCACCCAGTCGATGAATGGTATTTGTACAACTGTTGGCATCCTTATGGTTTCTTTGGGTTAGATGTTAGCAGGGGAAGAATAGCTATAGTCATAGACTTAGAAGTCCACCTTTAAAATTGGTTGAATTACAATTTTTCTTTTCTATCACTGTGTTCTGGTAGCAGTCCTATATACCAATAACATGGTCTGATTGCAGGTCAGTAACTGTAACCTTTACCGCCTTGGTAAGAAGAAAGGTTCACCAAGCCGCATGGTCGTCTCCATATTTGATCCACCTGTGAACTGGCTTCCCCCCGGATATGTTGTAAACCAGGATAGGAGCACTTCAGATAAATGGGAGAGCAATGAAACGGTAAGTTGCCCATGACACGTCGTTTGATTCCTTTAACCCTTTCACTGCCAAGGACGTACGTCGTACGGAGCTACAAAAGTGCTTCCAGCTGGCCAGCTCAGTACGTCGTACGGACCTGGCATTTACAGTTCTACTATAAGCCGATGGTCGCTTTAGCGACCATCAGCTTATAGTAGAACTGTTAAGCAGACTGTCCCCTTTAAATGGCCAGCTGATTTGAAAAATGTTCCGGAGGGCTTGGCAGCGAAAGGGTTAATGCAGACTCAAGTGAATTCTGATATGTAACGCATTCCAGACAGCACTAAGCCTAGCTTATGCGCCTCTTCGTCCACCATATTTCAGTTGTAGCTGGTCCTCTGTCTTCTTAAAAGCTCACAGCTTTCCTGTTCATTTCAAGTGTTTACGTAAAGCTGTGTTAACGGGTGGAAATGCAAAAAAAAAAGGGTGGAAATATTTTCCTAAAGACAATGCTTCCACCGGTACTGGTCTCATGACCAGAACCCCAAGAATTTGGTCAGGTGATCTCTAGCGTCAGATTAGCCCATTCTCTCTTTCATCAAAGCTCACGTGACAAAAAAACTCCCTAGGCTATTGGTCACGTGACCAGAATTGGAGGAGATCTGGAGTACATTCCGGGTGCATCAAATTAAAAGGTGTTCAACGTCTTAAAGTTAATTTTCTTTAGGAAGCAGTCGCAGCCTGAGTAGAGAATCCTGTCTCCTGCCAACATGCTGCAGAGAGGTGTCATTGCGCTCTATGTGTAAGCAGTGGTGACTCTACAGTAGTCCGACATGCCCCCTGCTTAGTCAGCTAGAGCTCTCCAATAGGCAGAGAACATGAGCTCCCCCTAGCTCTGATTTAGCAGTGGTTATGTCAGTCCTCTGCAGAGAGACCACTGCTTTCAAAGAGAGAACAAGCATGCTGACAGGGCACATGCTTTTCTACTCAGGCTGTGGCTGCTTGCTAAAGAAAGCCAAGTTTGCACACCCACCTGGAATATATTTTACCTTATTTAAACTAAGAGCTTTAAGGAGAACTATGAGGTGAGTGAAAATCGCTCATAGTTGGAGCCGACGTGTGACAATGAAACTGTCACACGTCGGCTCTATAGATCGGGAAGTGAGCGGACACATACCATCGCTCGCTCAATTCTCGATCATCTCCCTGCAGAGAGCGGTGACTGTCAGTCACCACTCCCTGCAAGGATTCCCCCTGCTCCGATCCTCCAGCACTGACTGGAGGAACGGACGGGAACTGGTGCAGCTGGCTCTGCCTCTAGATAGGCAGAGCCAGCTGTCACTCCTGCAGCTGGGTGGATCTCAACAGCATTGTCGGGGTCCGTCCCGGCTGTGGCGTCTCAGTATACCACGAGCTGTAGCTCGCTATATACTGAGCTTTGGGGTGACGGGGAGGACACTAGTATATGTTCTCCTGTGACCCTTAAGAGAACAATGGTGAAAAACACTTACCCCATAGTTCTCCTTTTTAATTGGGCTTTACATTTTTATTTAAAAAAGTTTTCCGTGGACCCAACACCATTATAGTTTCCCATTAACCCCTTCGTGATGGGAGACGTACAGTGTACGTCCCGGCACTCTGTGCCTATATGACTGGCCATGTACACTGTACATGACGAGTTATATCTGGCTTTGTAATGCTGGTAACAGCTGATTCTCAGCAGTTACCAGTCATTAATGAATGCCTCAGTATTGAGGCATTCATTAATGAAATAAGCTTTTTGTAAAAGCTTCTTCCTTTCATTAAAGGAGAACTATGGTGTTAAGGCTTTTCCCCATAGTTCTCCTTAGGGTAACGGGAGGACACAAACTAGCGTCCTCCTGTCACCCTAGGCTCAGTATACCGCGAGCTGCTGCTCGCAGTATACTGAGACGCTGAAGCGGATCCCCACAATTATGCCGGGATCCGCCCAGCTGCGTGACTGACAGCTGGCTCTGCCTATCTAGAGGCAGAGCCAGCTGTACCCGCCCCCTCCCCCGTCCGTTCCGCCAGTCAGCGCTGGAGAATTGGAGCGGGGAGGGGGAATCCAGCCCCTCTCTGCCATGACAGGATCGAGAGGTGATCGAATGCCGGTATGTGTTTGCTCACTTCCCGATCTACTGAGCCGACCTGTGGCAGTCTCATTGTCACAGGTCGGCTAGAACTATGAGGTGAGTGAAAAGCACCCCCCTTATAGTTCTCCTTTTAATGAAAGAATGAAGCCAACCGCAATTTGCGATCCGGTATTTGACAGCTGAAAATAGCAGAGAGGTAGCAGTGACTCACCTCTCTGCTATTTGTTTTGACAGCTTGAGAGCCTGATGTTTAGATACATTTCACTCAAAAGATACCATGTATATCTTTTGAGTGAAATGTATCGGTTCTGATCGTCTAGGCATGATCAAAGAGCTTTTAGGCCCCATTCACACTGCGCGATTGGCAAATTGCGCGATATCGTGCAAATGCTTGCATTGAGCAAGCTTGAATCGCGGCTAAATCCGCTCCAAAAAGGGTCCTGCTGTAGCGACGCACGACCCGCGACAGCAGGACCCTTTGCCCCATTGAGAACCATTGGGGAGCGATATCGCGGGAATTACCGCGCGGTAAATCGCTAAGTGTGAACGGGGCCTTAGGGAGATCTGAATCTGACTAAAGTCAGGATCAGTCTCTATGGTTATTATTAGCTGTTCCTAAGTTTGGAGCAGCCTAATAGCCAAAAATGTAAAAAAAAGTTAATTTATCAAGCAGTCATAGTGATTTTTCTTCTAGTTTTTTTTTTCCTCCATTTTTTATATTTTATTTAAACTAAGTGAGGCGTTGGGGCTACATATTTATATCACATATGTGTACCTATCTGTCCTCTAAAAAACAATATATAATATGTGTGGGTACATTTAGTAAGGAAGTATTTTACTGCTGTGGAAGAATCACACAGCAAAAATGTAAAAAATGTCTTATGAACAGAAACTGAAAACTAGCTCAGTCATGAAGGGGTTAAGCTGATGCCGTCTGTGCAAGGCTTGTTTTATATACAATGTGAACCATAATGTGCATTTACCATCACTGGAAACTAATGAAAGTATTCATTGCCGCACACAGGCCAGTGAAGGGGTAACCGCCAATGGCAAAACTGACGAAGACTTCGATGACGACGAAGATGAAGACCTGATGTGGCAGAATCCCAAAGAGGAAGGCGATTTCGAAGACGACTTTTTGGAGTACGATCAAGAACATATCAAGTTCATCGACAGCATGTTGATGGGGTCCGGAGCGTTCGTGAAGAAAATTCCCCTCTCTACGTTCTCTGCCCCCGACACGAATTACGAGTGGAAGGCCCCCAAAAAAACTCCTCTCGCAAATGTCCAGTTCTCACCGGACTTTGATGACTTCGATTACAGCTCCTGGGATGCCATGTGCTATCTGGACCCCAGCAAGGCCGTAGAGGAAGACGACTTTGTTGTGGGTTTCTGGAACCCCTCGGAAGAAAACTGCGGAGTGGACGCGGGCAAACAGTCCATATCCTACGACCTCCACACCGAGCAGTGCATCGCCGACAAGAGCATTGCCGATTGTGTTGAGGCTCTTCTGGGCTGTTACTTAACTAGCTGCGGCGAACGGGCCGCCCAACTCTTCCTCTGCTCGCTAGGCCTTCAGGTTCTCCCTGCGATGAAAAAGTCAGAGAATGGCATCTCTGGCAGCAAAGGAAGCCTTCTGTGCAATAAGACGAACGACTGTAAGTCCAATTCTGACTTTCCCTGCAAAGTAGTAGAATATGGTTATTTGAAAATCCCTCCCCGATGTATGTTCGACCACCCGGATGCAGAGAAGACTCTTGATCACCTCATATCTGGGTTTGAAAACTTTGAGAAGAAGATCAACTACCGGTTTAAAAACAAGGCTTACCTGCTGCAGGCCTTTACTCATGCCTCCTACCACTACAATACCATAACTGGTGAGTGACAGTGGGGATAGGAGTAGACATCGGACCAGGTGGTCAAAGGGAAAGCTGCCCCCCTTTCCCATTGCTTACCTGTAGGTCCCGCACGGTCAGTCGGCAAAAACCTCTAGGTGAACGACCCCCCTCCATCATGGTTAAGCAGCAGGACAGGCTGGAAGTTAGAAGTGCACCCCAAGCGGCTGTTTGAACTGCACCCATTTGCAGTGCATACTCTCTCTCCCTCTAGTATATAATTTGTTTGTGGCCACCTTTTTAGATCTCTGAGGCTCCATTGGTCTTGCTTTCCTGGGTCATAGCTTACACTATATGGCCAAAGATTGTGGACACCTGACCTTCACACCTAATATGAGCTTGTTGGATATCCTATTCCAAAACCATGCGCATTTTTATGGAGTTACGCGGCTCTTTTTGCAGCTATAACCATCTCTTAGCGGGCTTTGTGTACATGGGCACAGTCGTGCTGGGGCAGGAAACAGAAAAGGACCCTTTCCCAACTGTTACCACAAAGTTGAAAGCTTACAATTGTCTACAATGTCTTTTTAAATCTTCATTGGAAACACTCAAATATTGGGGTATCCATAAGGTTTGATGGTCCAGTGTCTCCAAAGCTTTCAACCTATAGTGTATACATCAGCCATTGCAAAGCCAAATGATGGTCATCCTCCCCTGAGGGGTTCTCCAAACTGTAAGGAGAAAAAGGAACCAAGTAATGGTGGTGTTGAGTTGTAGTAAAGTTAACACTTTAATTATAGCCATGGCGGGTGGAGAGATGCAAACCACTGGGTTTCTCATGGGTGCTAACTCAAAACTGAAATAGTTAGTGACCTTAAACCCTCAGATTTGTTAACATAAACCAATACTGTAATGTGTGCCTTACTGTAACCCATGGTAGTTTCCCTTCTCTTTGCTGCCCTTCCTCTTAAATCCTCATGTCTTCTCATGCTTGGGGAGAACTTCCCTTTGCAGCTGAGGGCCTCTTCCTGTAGTGCTGGCTCAGGTTGCAAACCTACACACAGACACCGTGTATCCATTCCTGAGACTAGGCAGTCTGCTGCAAAACAGAAGTTCTCCCCAAGCATGAGAAGAGATACAGATTTAAAAGGAAGAGCAGCAAAGAGAAGGGAAACAACCATGGATTACAGTAAGGCGCACATTACAGTATTGGTTTATGTTAAAAAATCTGAGGGTTTAATGTCACTAAGTAGTGATGGGCCTTTAATAAATGTTTTCTATAGTTCTCTGTGTCATCAGTTAGGGAAAGGAGTTCTGTACAGGTTTAGATTTGGAAAAACATTTAGCTGAAGCCTCTTTTCTTCTTGTCCCTCCTCCAAGACTGCTATCAGCGTTTGGAATTCCTCGGAGATGCAATTTTGGACTACCTCATTACCAAGCACCTTTACGAAGACCCACGGCAGCATTCCCCCGGAGTTCTGACCGACCTGCGCTCCGCTCTCGTCAACAACACCATATTCGCCTCCTTGGCCGTAAAATACGACTACCACAAGTACTTCAAGGCCGTCTCGCCCGAACTCTTCCACGTCATCGATGACTTTGTGCAGTTTCAGCTGGAAAAGAATGAGATGCAGGGGATGGACTCAGAGGTGGGTCACTATGTCTCTGCTCCCTTCCATCATTAAAGGAGAACTATGGGGTTAAGTCTTTTCCCCATAGTTCTCCTTAGGGTAACGGGAGGACACAAACTAGCGTCCTCCCGTCACCCTAGGCTCAGTATATAGAGAGCTACAGTTCCCTATATACTGAGATGCCGCAGCTGAATCGGATCCCGACAATTGTCCCGGGATCCACCCACCGGCGTGACTGACAGCTGGCTCTGCCTATCTAGAGGCAGAGCCAGCTGTACCCGCCCCCTCCCGATCCACCAGTCAGCGCTGGCAGATCGGGGAGGGGAGAATCCAGCCCCTCCTCTGCCATGGCAGAGAGCCGTGACACGATCGAGAGGTGAGCGAACGCCGGTATGTTTTCCCTCACCTCCCGATCTACTGAGCCGACCTGTGACAGTCTCATTGTCACAGGTATAGGGTTGGATATGAACAGCAGGAGAGATCAGGTTATATAAACTGCTGAGTAATTCAGGGGAAGGACACCCCACCTTCCTCTATTGCTGACACAGCCGGTCTTTTTGGAAACTGGTTGTCACTGAGGCACCTTGTTTTACTTTACTTTTTAAAAGACATTAAATCCCCGTTTTTGTAATCCTTGTTTTATGGCCGCGCTATGCAACTTCCTGTGTCGCTTCCCTGCCCCTCACACTGTTGACTGGACCATGAATGAGCAATACCCCACTAAAGCCCCGTTCACATTGAGCGATTTATCGCGCGGTAATTCCCGCGATATCGCGGCAAATTACCGCGCGATATCGCGCTCCAATGCATTTCAATGGGGCAAAGGGTCCTGCTGTCGCGGGTCGTGTGTCGCTACAGCGGGACCCTTTTTGGAGCGGATTTAGCCGCGATTCAAGCTTGCTCAATGCAAGCTTGAACGTGATATCGCGCGGCAATGTCGCGCAATATGCAAATCGCGCGACAAACGCACGATTTGCATATCGCGCAGTGGGAACGGGGCCTTAAGTAATCACTCCGCTCTCCCCTTTTGCAGGACCACAACATGTTAGATGAGCAGATGTGTGCAATGTAATGGAGACTGACTCAGAATGGTTGTTTTCCTCCTTTTTGTCCCTTCTATGCTTGAAAGCTAGTTTGAAAACAGATCCAGGTTCTTAAACAGTTGTTAGACAAGGGGTAGAATATGGTTTCCTGTTTTTATTATTATTATTATTATTATTATTATTATTTAGTATTTATATAGCGCCAACAGTTTGCACAGCACTTTACAATGTAAGGAAGACATTACAGTTACAATACAATTCAAGACAAGATGGTAAGGAGGGCCCTGCCCCTGAGGGCTTACAATCTAAAAGGGAGGGGCCAGTGATACATGAGGAGGTAGCTGTGCCAATGAATTATGTCAGAATGTGATGGTCGAGTGGTTAGGTTGAGGAGGGATAGGCTTCCCTGAAGAGATGAGTCTTTAGGGAACGCCTAAAGGCAGTCAAGGTGGGAGATAGACGGACAGGTTGGGGTAAAGAGTTCCAGAGGATGGGAGAGACTCTAGAGAAGTCCTGGAGGTGAGTATGGGAGGAGTGGACAAGGGAGCTGGAAAGCAGGAGGTCAATGGATGAGCGGAGGGGACGGTTAGGGTGATACTTTGAGACAAGGTCTGAGATATATCTGGGGGCGGAGTTGTGGATGGCATGTTTATGGAACTCCTGCAGCTGATTTGGTCTTGGTTTTGGCTCCTGATTGACGTATCTGCCAGCCTCGCCGTGACCTAGAGTAATCCCTCAGGTGCGGACCTCCTTGCTGAGGGGCCCTGAGCAGTAACAGGTGTGGGCATCTCCTAGAGACTGATGTCCATGTATGATACTGCATACAATCCGACATAGACAAAAAGATTCCCAGTCTTCTAAAATGTAGAATCATTGCTCCAGAGGTGGCCATAGTCCAGCCATTGCCATTAAAGTGTATACTTGGGGGAAGCGTATCTTTGCAATACATACACCTTTCCCCATTATTATCCCTTTGAAGGTCCCCACACACAATCGCGGGAAATCCCTGGTCTCTGGTGCACATTTTCCATCTGACTGTATAAAATGGGTGAAGAATCTTTAATTGTGTTAGATAACTGATCCCCCTCCTACGTGCCATGGTTCCATTTTGCTGCCCGTTATGTCACTGCTGTGGGAGGAAACCGCACCACACAGCGGGGAACCAGTTCTCCAACACACCCCGAAATGTTGACTGATTCTATATCCACTGTAGCTCTGTAAAGGTGCCCATGCACTGCACAATTCACGTACGAGAATCGCGGGAAATCCCACGATCGTACAAGAATCGTGCAGTGTATGGAAGACGTGTGACCGTTTCTAATGTACGATCGCACGTCTTTTTGTATATCGAGCATGTTGGAAAACCAGCCGAGAATCGTACGATTTTCGGCTGGTTTTTAACATGATCGAGATCACTGCCGAACAGGCCGGTGTGCGCATGCGCACACTGCCCGTTCAGCATTGTAGTCATCGCAAGCCCGCCCCTTAGGGCGGATCCCTTTAAAGGTGGCCATACACTCTACAACCATCTACAACCATCGCAAGACCTTAGTCTTGCGATGGTTGTAAAGGGATTAAAAAAAACGTAGGATCTGCTCATCTTGGACGGGCATATCGCACTCTCGATCATCGCAAGCCACGCCCCCTGAGGGGCGGGCTTGCGATGACTGTAATGAGGGGCGGCTTACGCTGACTGCAAACGGGCAGTGTGCGCGTGCGCACACCGGCCCGTTCGCCAGTTGTCGAACCAGCAGGCCACCAACTCGCCGAGAATCGTACGATTCCCGGTGGGTTTTCAAACATGCTGGTTCGATGGAAGACGTGCGACCGTACAGTAGAAACGGTCGCACGCCTTCCATACACTGCACGATTCTCGTACCATCGCGGGATTTCCCACGATTCTCGTACGAGAATCGTGCAATGTATGGGCACCTTAAGAGAGCAAAGATCCGAGTCACCGCCCACGGGGCTGATGAGTACTAATCTTAATTGCAAATGACCATCACACTTTTCCTTTTGCTTTCAGCTGAGAAGGTCAGAAGAAGATGAGGAGAAAGAAGAAGACATTGAAGTCCCTAAGGCGATGGGAGACATATTCGAGTCGCTTGCCGGAGCGATCTACATGGACAGCGGCATGTCCCTGGAAACTGTTTGGCAGGTCTATTACCCGATGATGAGACCGTTGATAGGTGTGTGCGCATGTACAGATATATCATGGACTCGGCCAAATACAATTTCACATTTGAAAGAACTCTGATCGAAATTAAATGTTTCTTTTGTTACAAATGAGTGAGCTGTATAGCGCTCGATGTATAGTAAACTCCCATTTTTATCACCATTTCTGTATCTGAAAGAACTAGGAAAATTAGAATTTTTCATAAACGGGATAGAATAATTTAGTGCCTGGCTTTAAATCTAGTGGGTGGTCGCTGCTGCATTCTCTCCTTGTGCAGGGTGACCTGGTCTTGTCTCCGCCCCCTCCTGTAAAAAAGATTGGTCACTGCTGCTCTCTCTCCTTGTGCAGGGTGACTGGTCTTGTCTCCGCCCCCTCCTGTAATAAAGACCGCTCACTGCTGCTCTCTCTCCTTGTGCAGGGTGACTGGTCTTGACTAAGCCCCCTCCTGTAATAAAGACCGCTCACTGCTGCTCTCTCTCCTTGTGCAGGGTGACTGGTCTTGACTAAGCCCCCTCCTGTAATAAAGACCGCTCACTGCTGCTCTCTCTCCTTGTGGAGGGTGACTGGTCTTGTAGTGGGTGGGACCTGCTGGGCCCATCTCACAGCTCTGCACAGGCTATGTACAGCCCAGTGGTGATGTCATGGCTACTTTGAAAACCCAGATATCCTCTTGTAAAAGGCATTTGGTGCGTACAAAGTGGATTTAGTTCCTTTGTGGCTATCAAGGAATATATTTAGAGCTGCAGCTAACGATTATTTTCAAAATCGATTAGTTAGCCGATTATTAAGTTCGATTAATCGGTTAATCGGAAAGAAAATTAAATGAAATGTTGTTTGCCTGGAGTTCATCTTTGAGCATTGACTGACTTCAGTGGTAACCACAAGAGTACCCGAGACTAATACATTTCGGTCATAAGACTGCTGCGCTTTAAAGGAAAAGCCTCCAGTAAAGATCGCGCGGCATTTTTATATACAGTTTGCAGATCTGTAGCCAATGCTTTATTTCCATTGCAGAGAAATTTTCAGCCAATGTTCCTCGTTCCCCGGTGAGAGAATTATTGGAGATGGAGCCGGAGACGGCCAAGTTCAGGTGAGTTTGGATGTGTGATATAGATGAGTGCTCTCTTTTTGCTGGGCCGGTAATACTTTCAGCTGTATTATGAGTATTTGATGAAAGCGCTTGCTGCCTGATTCTGATTCTTTAGCGAGGATCTGTTACCAAAAAAAAGCATTTGGAAATACAGCAGTTCACTAAAGAACTCTAGGCATTTTAAAAATGAACCCTTAAGTGGGGCTTCCCCTTCACTGCAAGGGTTAAGTGTGTGATTTATAATCTGATCTAAGATAAAGAAGATATACTCTCCTCGTCCTCAGTCCTGGAGCGGTGCCCGCTCACCTCTCTTCCCCTCCACTCCAGCTGTGGCCCGGCCCTCGGCATCCTCACGTCCAGTACAAATCCTTGGACTTGCATTAGACGTGATGACATTAGCGGTACTTGGACCCCTTATGTCACCAGGGGAGAAGAGGCTGCGGGGCCGGTCTAGCAGCCGGGCAGGTTGAAATGGGTATATATTTATTTTTTTATTTTTTTAACCCTTGCAGTGTGGACATAGCCCTACTGTAAGGGTTAATTTTTAACATGCCAGGAGATCCATTGCTGCCCAGTCTGTATCCGGATTAGTGTTCTATCTCAATGCTGCATATAATATACATTGTATCCTTTTTGTATAATAATCAGCACCCATTGCTCTAACCCCATTCAGTTTTTGATATAGAGAAGATTTTTTTTATTTTATTTGGCTCCTTTTTTTAATGGGAATTTCTCCTTTTTTTTTTATAAAAAAAAAGGAAAAGACCTTTTTTTTTTTTTTGGCAGTGTTCAACATTTAGTTATCTTAAATGTAAATCAAATGCCTATTGATCCTGCTAGATATCTTCTGAGCACTTCCTGTGTTCTCTGCTTCATTGTTATCAGATATATTGCACTACAGAGCAGAGGTGTTCTGTAGTCCTGTCCTAGGGTAACAACGCTGTTGCTCCATAGAGTGCAGCAAGTGAGCGTTGTCACCCGAGGACAGGAAGTGTGATACCGGCAGGATCACATAAAGTAAATAAAAGCCTAAATACATAAAAGGAATGCAGCTACCACATCTTAGAACTGGTACGCTGCAATATTACATTTTTGCTCCCGGATTTAATCCCTTTGAAGGCGCGGAATGTCCGAAATGCATCTATCGTTGCTGTTCTTATTCTCTTACATTTTGCAATAAAAGTTTAAATGTCCGGCCACTTTTTAAAGGAGAACTATGGGGTCAGGGCTTTTCCCCATAGTTCTCCTAAGGGTAACGGGAGGACACAAACTAGGGTCCTCCCGTCACCCTAAGCTCAGTATACCGCGAGCTGTATACTGAGACGCCGCAGCTTTGGCGAATCCCGACATTACTGTCTGGATCCACCCAGCTGCGTGAGTGACAGCTGGCTCTGCCTATCTAGAGGCAGAGCCAGCTGTGCCCGCCCCCTCCCCCGTCCGTTCCGCCAGTCAGCCCTGGGGGCGGTGAATACCTGCAGGGAGCCGTGACAGGATGGAGAAGTGAGCGAGCGACGGTATGTGTTCACTCACTTCCCGATCTATTGAGGTGACATTGTCACACGTCGGCTAGAACTATGAGTCTGAGGGATTTTCACTCACCTTATAGTTCTCCTTTAATGCTGCCTTTTTCCTTTTTTTTTTAACGACAAAATAAATTAACGGAGCGTGCCAATTTCATTCGGGTGGGAAAGCAGCAAAACGCAGGCCTGATTTTGTAACCCTTTTTAAACTTTTTTTTTTTTTCTCCTTCAGCCCGGCCGAGAGAACCTACGACGGCAAAGTCCGAGTCACCGTGGAAGTCGTAGGCAAAGGAAAATTTAAAGGGGTCGGCAAAAAAAAAGCGTAGAGAGGAGCAAATTACAGACGGAAGTAACGTTGAAGCTCATGGATCAGATCGACAACCATGTGCGTCGCGGCGGTCGCGGCATAGGCCATGTCAAGCCCTTTGCAAAACCATTGTGGGACAGGATGGTGGTATATTTTTTTTTTTGTTATTGTTTTTTGACTCCATTATTAATCATAAGTCTTCTATTTCCAATAATTTTGTAGCCCTTCCTGAAGGCAGCGTCCATCCAATTTCTGTCATTTTATTTTTTGAGTAGGGCTTAGCTCCAACAGTGGCTGCTGGGGGGGGGCGGGGGGGGGGAGGTTTTATCGACCTGTGTATATGTGTTAGGATTTATGTCCCGTTCATCTTTTTTTTTTTTTCTTTATAAGCTGTCCTTGGATATTCGAATGCATCGGGTTGTTCTTAATTACCATTTTTGTCCCGGGTTTAATGCAAAAAAAAATTAAAATTCTAAAATGTTGCACTTACAGGGACACCATTTTGTGTCGAGGAGTGAGCGACTACAACTTTGTATTATGTATAAAAAAAAAGAAATAAGAATGAATGTTATTAATCATAAGGACAATTTTATGACACAAAGTTACTATTTAACAGAATTCTACTGCCTTCTAGACAGGAATATCACTCCTCCCTCTTTATTCATCCGCACAGGTCTGACCTTCACGCGACACACTATGCATTCAGTAACTAGCCAATATTTTATTTTTTTCCAGTATATTTAATAATTTTTTTCCCCCCAGGCTTTGACTTTAAATTATTTCATAATTGTGACTCCTTTTGTGAGCTCGGTTAGGCGACAGATTTTCAGAGCGTTTCTATTTTAAAGGAAAGAAGTAATGATATCCTAACTGACAGGAAAAGATTTAATGGAATGCTGCGTAACCTGGAAAGCTTTTGTGCGCGCATTTGTGTGTCGCTGTAAATGTACGACGTATCACATGTAAAAAAAAAATATGCTGCAGAATTTCTGTTTTAATCAGATTTAGCACCTTTTTTTTTTTTCCCGCCTCACCACTTTATATGGCTATATTTGCTGTTCAGCATCAAATACCACCCCGCAGGTTCTGTTTTTAAAAAGGAGGAAAAAAAAAAAAAAGCTAAAAAATTGTGATGTGAGTGAGACTGCTGTATTGTTTATCATCTGTGATTTAAGTTGTGTGCTTTTTGGTTTTTTTTATTTGTTTTTTGGGGGGTGTAGTCTACCTTTTTTCTACGATTTAGTTAATGTAGGCAGTCTTCACTTGAATACCTCATATTTTTTCCCCTCTCCATCTCTGCATGCTTTCTAATTTTTGTCTCGGTGCTATGGTTTTGTTTTGTATTATGCTTGAAATTCATATTTTATTTGCACTGTAACTATATTACCTCCTTCTTTTTTTTATTTCTTTTTTTTTTTTTTTAAATTGCAAAGGGCTTTTGAGGCCCGTTTAAAGGTTTGCTGCAACTGCTTCCACTGATGCTTGAACCCTCAAAAATTATTAGTTTAGACAGAGGGGTGATGTCAGTCGTTTCTTCCGTCCCTTACATGTCCAAACAAATTTTATTAGGTTTCTCAGTTTATTGGGACAGGGCAGGTTAAAGGTTATGGTAATCCAGCTTAAAAAAAACAACAAAAACAGTCACCGCCACCTTCAGATGAGTTTGTAATTAAATTAAAAGCAAAAAATAATCAGTAGAATGAACCTTGTGATAATGAAAGAGGAACTTTACCCTCATCTTGACAACAAAGACTCCTTGAGAAATGTTTAATAACAATCTACAAACAGATACTTTATATATTTGGCGGCTTTTTGTTCTTTACATCCCTTATTTTTCTTTTCCTCCCCAGTCTTCTCAAAGCGGCAATTTTTACTAAGGGCAAATTAATCCATCTCCCTTTACTTCCTGGAACTCTGGCCCATGTGACTGGGACATGTGACCATGCACATCATCTCGGGGAAGGAAAATGCCTTTTCCCTGAGATCTCGTGAGATTTCCCAGCAATGTTCTGCTGAAGTAACCTTCCCAGGATGCAACGCTTGGGCACAGATTACATCACTAATGCCCAAGAGGACCAGGAAGTAGAAAACCAATAATTATAGGTTAAAAAAAAAAGGCGTAAGATTTCATATCTGCACGCTGAGTTGATTGTTTACCCCCTTTCACTAAAAAAATCGCTTTTAGTATTATATTGGCTCTCCTATTGCCAACCAAAGCAGCTTGTTACATAAGCTCGCCATCAATAGCAGGAACTGCCCACACACTCTTCCGGTAGACATTTCGGACACATTTGGATGACGCAGTCGTCTTTTACTTGTCCGTCTGTGATGCGTTATTGATTTTGTTAACTCGGCAATGTTTCCTTAAAGGTGACGTACTCGGATTTATAAGGCAGATTCTAGACTCTGAGCACTTTGATTTTTCACCGTCTGGGTTCTTTAACCTCCTTGGCGGTATTCCCGAGGTGTGGCTCGGGGGTTAATTTTCAGTAACATAAGCGGTAACCCCCGAGCCACACGCGGGATTACAGCGTAGCGTTACCTTGTCCCTCGAGCCGCGCTGCGTCCTCCGGCCGATGCCGGCATCTCTCTTCCGGGTTCCGTCTCTTGCGAGCGCCCGCGTCGCAAGGAGGGGCGGAACCGGCGGGAATTTTAAAAGTAAAAATAAGGGGGGGAAAAAAATTCAATGATCGGACCGCCACGGAGGTTAAATGATTCGGTCACCATAGTATTCACTTCTCCGAACTACTGATATCCGGATATTTGAAAGTTTTTTTTTTTTTCTTACATAGACATCTACTTTGTATCACGATAAGGCTGGGTTCACACCTAGGCGTATCGAATATGCGCGTTTTGGGCGTAGTACTTTGGGCGTAGGGCGTTTTTGTAGCGCGTTCATACGGCCTGTGATACGCCCAGGTGTGAACCATACCCATAGGAAATAATGGGATTTCGGTGTTTGAGCGTTTTGCAGACCGTAGGAACGCGCTACAAAACGCCCAGGTGTGAACCAGGCCAAACCCTCAGTAGTGGTGAGCGCAGCAGACTCCCTTTTTTTTTCTGTTATAGGAAATCTTGTTCATTCCATTTTGGCATTTCTTTTGTGTTCGTCTTCAAATCCTCAGGTCACCGCGCGACATTTCCAAGAAAACGATGCTAGCCGAGGCAGTGTTTTTATGAATCGTCATTTTCAGAGGCAATCCTTTTATCAAGAGCACCTCAGATTTAAATGTACACCTATTTATTTATATATATATATTTAAGAGCAAGTCTTGTCATTTATTACTCAGAAATGTAGCCTTTCAAATATCTGACTTCAGAGATACAAAAAGAAATACTGTTTTTGTTGTTGTTGTTTTATTAAAAAAAGTAATTGATACCCTTAGCAAATATGGCACCATAGGAAGGTCACCCAGTATACACAGTGGGGGGAATTTATCAATATCTGGAGCAGCTGTGCCTGGCAACCAATCGGCTTCTATTCTCCGATTAAGTTAAGATTTGAAGATTAAAGAGAGAAGCTGATTGGTTGCCGTGCACAGCTGCTCCCGGATTTTGTCTGCTCCAGTTTGGACAAATTCCCTTCATAGTATGTATGAACATCTGTTGTTTTCGGGAATAGTTTACAAATTTAAGATATCATATGCTACCTGTATATAACAATTTCATAACGAGATTCATTCGATAAGGGCGATATAGTGTAAGACATTAAAGTGACACTAAACTCCGGAGTTAAATCATAAAAATCCATTCAAGTACCTGAACTAGTAACAACAATGTATCTGATTTGTGTATCACTCGGCTGGGGATCCTCCAATCATCTCCGACACGGTCCTTCCTTCTGGAGCGGGGGCTACGTCTGTTCCCCATGGTCCCTGTGTGTGTTGTAAAGTAGTCACCGCTCCAAGCTCCGCCCCCGGGATGGACTACAATCTCATGTTTAGTTTACTCATTTGTATCGAGATTGTAATCCAGCACGGGAGCGAGCTCGGAGCAGACAAAATCTGGGAGCAGCTGTTCATGGCAACCAATCAGCTTCTCTCTTTCATTTCCAAATCTTAACTGAACAATCGGAGAATAGAAGCCGATTGGTTGCCAGACACAGCTGCTAAGAAGTCGTCACCGCTCCGAGCTCGCTCCCGTGCTGGACTACAATCTCAATACAAATGAGTAAACTAAACATGAGATTGTAGTCCATCCCGGGAGCGAACTTGGAGCCGTGACTACTGTACAACACACACAGAGACCATGGGGAACAAACGTAGCCCCCCTCCAGAAGGAAGGACAGTGTCGGAGATGATTGGAGGATCTACAGCCGAGTGATACACAAATCAGATACATTGTTGTTACTAGTTCAGGTACTTGAATGGATTTTTATGATTTAACTCTGGAGATTAGTGTCACATAAAGATGAAATTGTTATATACAGGTAGCATATGATATAACGAGATTCATTCGATGAGGGCGATATAGTGGAAGAGACATTAAAGGTCTCATGCAAGCGATTTAACTTGCTGATTAGCAGTCTTCTGGCTTTGTGTAATCTCTTCACAGCATCAGGGCTTGCTGTGTGCTGCTTAAAGGACGCATCCATCCTAGCTTGCTTGCTGCATCCACAAACCTGCATTCTTTTAAAGGGAGACTATAATTCAGTAACCAATACCCCATAATCTTCTTTTTTTTACTCACTTTGTTACATATTTTGTAATATTTCACACCCAAGTTTATAACTCCCTGCTTAAAGATTAAGTGAACCCGATAAGGCTGCCAACACTCTGCCCCCAACTGTGCTCCTGCGTTGTCACCAGCTCTCACAATGGGGACTGCAAATGGCCGCGCCAACACATTGCAAAGGCATATGGTCCATTCTTATCACCATCAGGAAACCCGTCCTGAAAAATGCCATGCAGTCGTTGCTGGAGTGCATGTAGACAGGAAGTGGCTGCAGATCAGCGGCACTGAGATGCAGCAAAGTGAAAACTGTATTTTTTTTTTTTAATGTAA